GTTCCGATTACAAATTTCCAACCAGACTTGCCCGAATTCGGGCATGCAGCGTTAACAATTCCAACAAATATCGATATTTTGAACTAATTCAAACAGGGTTTAATTGTTGGTAAGATAAAAGTCCACAAAGATTTCTAAATCTCAGAATCGCGATTACGAAATGAACAAATTTGAAATTTCAACTTACAGATTAGGACCTTCGAGCGGAGAATCCGAGGAAAATAAACGCAGCGGGAGAAAGAAACGATGAATCCCGTTTGCTCAGAAATCGAGATTCTATTAAATTGAAGATGGAATTTTTATGATTTTGATCGTATTCCATTAAATTCAATGAATTTTCTCGGGAAAAAAAAAGAAGAAAATATTGGGTTCATGAAAAGATTTAAGATTATCGGTATTTTTTTTTTGTTTTTATCTAAAGAAAGTCAAAAAGATTTATCTTTTGCTTCGTCGAATGAATTTTACCGGTGGGAGAAATTTCCAAGAAAAAGGAAAAGAAATTTGTTTTTGGATAACCAGAAAATTAAAATCCGCCATGACTCAAGAGACACTGTAATTGCTTTAAATAGATGAGTCTTGTGAAGGGAGGGAGAACGAGAAGGGTCTAGGGTTTTTGTCGTAATTAGCACACCTTTCTGAGGGTATGATTGGTATTTCGTAATTCATCATGTGGGAGAAGATGCGCAAGAAAAAGACAAATGCTTCGATTTTATACCGGATTTGGAATTTATATTAGAGATCTTTGTTTCTCATTTCTTTTCTTTGTTTACTTAAAAATTCCAAATCGCTTTTCCATAATTCAAAAATTAATTTCATATTGGAAGATCAGTGAAAAAAAAAAAATGGAAATTCAATAGTGAATAAAGTCCTTCAAATTACAGAGAAGAAAAAAATGGATGGTCGTGGGAATATTAGTATATTACAATCCAGAGATCCACACAAAAGCACACAAAGTGGTATATTCGTTTTCTATACGTAAAAGACATTTCTTGCTTGTTTATCGTACGAACGAAAACTGAACGAGACTCCTCAAAGGCCAAATATATAATAGTACCATATACATGCCATTTTTATCACGTGTGTTCATTCATCGAACTATGCTTCGTTTTTTTTAAACCTTTAAACTATGCTTTTATTGTTGAGGAAAAAGACCTATGCTTCGTTTATTTTTATTTTACCACGTTTAATCAACCACTCTTTATGGATGGATGTAATAAAGAGGTTTAGATGTGTTTAATAAGCATGTTCATTCACAAGAGTCCTAATTTCTCAACTAACTCGTTTTCTTCTAAAGTCAAAACATTTTCCATTTATTTTTTTTGCTAAATAACATTTTCCATTTAAAGAAACAGATTCATTGTAGTCGCTCCGATAACTTTATTATACGCAAAGACCTTTTTTGTACAACTACAGTCGTTTTCATTTTTACAACATTATCAATAGTAATTGTA